GCAGAAATTATCAAACATGCTAGATAATTGCCGTAAGTGGCACGAATGAGCAAAGGCGCCTGAAACGTCGCCTGCACATGAGAGCAACTGGCTTACGCCAATAGCCACGAATGACTTTTTGCTAAGCACATATCTCTAGTGTGCGCTGGCCTTAAAGGTGACATAGAGAGCTTTCAGTCCATGGTTGTGCGTTTCTGCGGCGTCGTATAAACTGGTTGAAGCTTCAATAATTCTCTAATATGCGTTTTCTGGATGATATTGGTTCGCTCATACCTCCGATGCAATTGTTCCTTTGCACTCTGGTAATTTGCTGCAGTTAAAGCATACCCTGAAATGACTCTCTTGCTTGATCCTTTAACAATCCATGTAAGTACAAAAACTTGTCGGCCTCTGATAAATTGGAATTTTCATCTACTGAGCTTTTGAACGAATCCCAAAACTCTTGCCATCGCTCAATTTTTCCGTTGAACTTCCGTAATTCGAGTTTTGGTAGCCTAACGCAAACAGATTTCTAGTTTGATATAGGACTCTCAGTCAAACTTGCCCCCTCATACTTCGCCTCGCTCTTGCTATTCCTTGGAGCCAAGGTCTCTTCTAACAGGCATATTGCAGCCTGTATATCCACTCTCAAGTTTCCTGCCTCTCCGATTTCATTTCGATAACTGCGTTTTCGGTCTCATCTGTGTTTTCCAGAGCCTTTTGTATTTCGTCATCCAGCGTTTGAATTGCTTTAAGTTGTTCTTCCGAGGACGACTTACGATTTAGTAAGGATTCTTGTTCCGACTCAGGATTGGAAAGCAGCCCTTTTACTTTGCCCAGCGTTTTCTTGATGAATGAACGGTGTCCACTGCGCGTTCTTTTTTTTTATTTCAACTCGTCCATCTTTCAAACTATCATACGATCAACGATCCGGCTCGAAGGACCATGTGTTGAGGACTTCAGTCCTCTGATGGTTCACACTTCAGTGACATTTTTTAAAAACTTGATTATACAATCAATATTACAACCTTTATCCCTTTCAATCTACAGCCAACTGCTACACCCAGTTTACATCAATTTTTATATACCTAATTAATTCCTTCAATATGATGATCAATCTTATTTCGTAACTTTTGACATCGGACGACACACCTAACATTCCACAGCACATAACATTCCACAGCACATAACATCATGCAACAGTTATAATTCTAATAATAATATAGAATATATATGACACTATTGCCAGAGACCTGTTGGGGGGCAACTTATTCAAATGATAAATATTCGAGCCTGAAGGTCCAAACATAGTGCTTTTACTAGAGTCATTCAAACAAGTGCAACAATTTAAAAGTATAAACGTTTTTGATAGTGATATTTTGATAGTCGTTGTCTTCCTCAATTATCCTACAGAATTTGATACCTTGTAAATATTATTCTATTTTACACAGACAAGGACTGAAATTTCTGACGAAACATTGCTATTTTTTTATACTTTTGAATTGTTGAACTTGTTTGAAACGCTCTGGTAAAAGCACTATGTTGGGCTTTGCCTCTGACATTTATTTTCCGAATATTTTATATTGCGTTGTGTTATGAGTTATGGTGAGCTTTAGGCTCATCATTTGGCCACAAAGAAACTATGATACAGCTGATAGCCAGTATCATTTTGCCTGCAGTTCCGACATTCCGATACAACTCTTAACTGCATGTCACCAGAAACTCGGGTATATTTTATATATTCAAAGAAGATGGTATTTTTAGGTGAATTGTGGGGTTGGATTAAAGTATCAAAATAAATAACACTTGGTACTGATCGTATTTGTATCACATCTTCAGATATGATATTTACACTTACTCCTTTGATCGATTTCTAGCAGATTTGTGGAAATGGGAAGGCCAGCTGTTAGGTTACTCTTACATAGTAAGCTTGCTATATAAGCGTCCTAGTCGCAGCGTCTAAACTAAATATTTTATTGTCGATTTCACATAATTTTTCAAAGCGCGGTTGCGAAGTTCGCAATTACGTTTCGAATGTTCAAAGTTGAAAACAAACTTCGAAGGTCAAGCTCATAAACAAATTTGAAAATACCTTACAGCTAAAACAATTTTGTTTTGATTTGAAATGGTTTTATTGTATGCAGTTGCGTTGATATGTCATTGTTTAAAGTATATTTTAATGCTTCATGATTCAAATTTACGTGCTTGACCGAACACTCGAAACATAATTGCAAACTTCACAACCGTGTTTTGAAAATAAAACAAGACGCCTGTTCTGGCGTTAACTCCGGCGCACATGCCAGCCTTTAATATAGAGCTTCTGAACATAAACAATACAGTTCATATTCTCATTTAGATGCCTTGCGAGTTGCGAACCTATAAATGTTCGATTGAAAAATTTAGAAGCACATCATACTTTAAAAAGTATAGAAGTTCAATTGTTCAAAAATGTAAATAAACTGCATGATACATTCGCTTTGTCTTACACTTTGCTTTTGGAATAGGCGCTTATATAGTTATATTAAATCTTCAATCCTGTGCAAACTACAATGTGTCAACGTGCCCATACATGACCACATCATCTTGTTAAGCGGCGAAATAGCAGCGATATTATTAAAATAGGACCAAAATCTACATGAATTAAATATATTCTTACCCCAATTCAATCTAAACTTAATCGAACAGCATGAAAACAACGGTTTATTTGTTCCTCTTGGAGGAATTGCTGTATCATGCCATGCGAGCGAAATCAAATCGCGCATCGGAAAATTAGCCAAAGCTGTACACCACAACTCTTGGGAGATGAAACTGGGACGTAGATAAATACAGTTACATACACATTTCAAATACTAGAGTGGTTTGCGCCATTTCAGACTTGCAAGGACGAAAAATAATAATCAAAAAAAATAATAATAAAAAAACCCAAAAAAAACGAGGCGATTTTTCAAGTTCGTCGCTGACACCGCCCGCAATAATAATCGAAAAATAAATATTCAGGCGTTCTGGTATTCCGGCGTTTCTGTTTTTACTACATGCCCAAATCCTGGTCCTGTTTGTGATAACTTAAAGTTTCACATAGAGGATTTTACTCAGGCGCAGGCCTTAAAATTGCTCACATTAATGTAAGAAGTATTATGAACAAGGACGCGCTCGATAAATTACTCAAGAATAAGCCATGTGTTCACTCTGTCGGAAACATGGCTTAAACCACAAATATTGGACAGTGAAGTAAACATTTTGGGTTATTCTTGTGTATGCTACAATATATCTGGAAAAACTGGTGGTGGAACTATGATTTATGTACCTGATGGTATTCCTTACCGATACAGGCAAGATCTAGAAGGGGTGTGACAGAATTATGTGTTATTGAAATAACACAAACAAATTGCAAAAAACTATTGATTTGGACAATCTATCGAGCTCCAAATGTTAATCTGGAAAGGCCAATCAAAGAGGCCCAGGATCGGTTAATAAAAATCCCTAATTCTGTTGAATTGCTTTTACTGGGTGATTTTAATGTTGATCCTTTGGATAAAAATAACATATTTGCACAGAAAGTTGATAAGAACAATGAATTTGCATAATTTGTGTTGAGTCTACCGGGTGGCGCAAAAAAATGTTCCTCCTCTTCGACTTAATTTATTTTAAAAACTAAAAAAGATATCATTTTCAAGTAACGTCTATTGAGTGGAGTGGTGTTTAGCTTAAATTTTAATGTAAGCCTTGTACGTTTCTATACAATATTAGCCAAGATATAGGCGTTTAAACTCAAGGTATATAGCGTTTCTGGGAGAAGCAAAAAATGTTCTAAAATAGAATGAAAACAGCACGCAACAGTAAGAACAAGCTGATAGCTTCGTCTGGCAAATCCTCACTGTTTTTATGCTTGGAGATGGAATATTATTCCAATGATTTTGCCATCGACGTAAAACTTCTTTTGCATTATTAGTCCTCGCATATTCCAAACAAATCCAAACTTGTTGCTACATCGTTAAACGAGGCATGTTTATAACAAAGCGGGCAAGCTCCTTTGCTTTCGTTCCCTTGTGCATTGCAACTCCTTGTTCGAACGATGAACAGTATTATTTTAACATCAAATACACTTATACTTCGAATACCTTAATCTAAGAATCTTTAAACATGCAAAGACAACATACATGAAAAAAAAAAACGCTTTAAAAAACGCCCATCGTGGAAGTTGAAAATAACTTAGTTGAGTTGCAATATTTAGTCATGTTATTCGCTTCGTCAAAAAATGCACCTTTATTTTAAACGGCTCGATCTCGACGAATATTGTACAGAATTGTTCAAGACATATATCAAAATTTAAGTTAGACATCACAGTGTTCAACAAACTTTATTTGAATAAGATATCTGTATTAGTTTTTTAATTACGATAAGTCTAAGAGGGGGAACATTTTTTTGCGCCACCCGGTAGTATGGTATAATATTTAATCAACGACGCCTAGTTATTGTACAAGCTTATATAGTCATGCATCTAATAATATTAATATGCTAATTATTCCCAATCCTACTTTTATGTTAATAACTCTAGTGTTAGTGAATATCTAATTGTTACTACCTCTCCCCTTTTTCAGATAATAGTCCTATGTAGGACTATTATCTAAATCATTTATAAATTAACTAAAGTTTCAATTTTTTCTATCATATACTATAATATTTCTATCCTATACTTATTTATAGAAGTCCTTCAAGCTTCTCTCAAATACTGAAATCTTCCTTTGTTTTGATCTGTGCAGTCCAAGTACTTCATCTTCTTCTCCTTCTCCGTTCTGGTTTGGTCTTTGTTGGATGTTACATTGTCCAGATTGTCTTGGCTGATCTGGTTGCTGGTCAGATTGTCCTGGCTGTTCTGGTTGCTTTATCGTGGGTGGATATGGACCATCTGATGCTGGTGGACTCGTAATGGGTTTTGGTCATCCCTCTTGGAAACTTCGGGTTCTTTCAGTCGCTTAAATCTCGACATATCTCTACATTTGACTTTCCCATCTTTTCTGCAACTACTGTTGATCCTTAAATCCAGTCACACTATATATGTGCGGTTCAAATGGAGTGCCTCCTTTCTTCTTCTTCTCTCCTTTCACGATGACAGCATCACCAACTTTCAATTGATATGTTGTTACTCTATATCGTTTATCATGATTTTTCTTTGCTTTCTCTTTATAAACTTTGTCCTTGTGTCTCACATCGTTGTCTTTAGACGGGGTTTCCACACTGAAGTGTTCTAGCTTCGTTCTAACTCGTCTGTTCATTAATAATTCGTATGGTGCAGTTTTTGTTGCAGGATGTGGTGTACTCTGGTAAGGTTGAAGCATGTCATACGTAGCTTCATGGAAACCTGTGTGTCTTTTGTGAAAGCTGCTATCTTGTTGATCAGTTTATTGAAGTTCTCCACCTGTCCTTGCGCTTTTGGGTGATATGGTGTTATTCGTTTATGCTTGAACCCAAGCTCCGCAGCCAATTGAGTGAAATTGTATGAATCAAAAGGTGGTCCATGACCAGTCTGGAATATCTTCTTCAGTGCTTTCCTAACTGGTGTTATTGCCGTTGAACAAATAAATTCTACTTCCGGATATCGTGAGTATTGGTCGGTTAACACCATAGCATACTCTCCGTTCGGGAAAGGTCCACAGAAGTCCAATTCAACCGTCTCCCAAGGATGTTGTTGCTATTTGACAACTGTAACACGATTGTACTATGTTCTCTATCTCAATATTCATTCCTGAGAACCAGTATTTTCTATTTAGGTGGAATAATCTTTTCACCCCGTAATACTATTCCTTCCGCTTCATATACTTCGCTTCTGAGATCATAATATTGTCCTGATTATTGAGAACATGTGGTATGCCAGATATAATCTTGGGTATCTCTTCGTCAAAAACATCCTGGCTGTTCACCCCTCCAAATGCCAGACGCTTATAACGATAGTTCCCCCAAGGTGTTGAGAACGTCATAACCCTCTTTGACTCTTCATCGAGGGCAAACTGGTGGTATCCGTGATTGAGATCGACCTTGCTGAAGACCGTACATGCCTCGTATGTGACATAGATTGATTCAAAATCGTAGGTCCAGACTGACTCGAATGTCTTTGGGGTTCTTTGGTTTTGGTTGCACCAGAGTGGTGAACACCATCTGATTGCTTCGTGTTCGTGCACTTTCTCGATAATGTCCTTTTCAATAAATTAATCAATACGTTTTTCTAACGGTCCTACTAAGTGGTACGGTACACGTCTTGGTTTCTGTGCGACTGGCGTTGTATTCTCTGTCATTGGAAGGTGTATCTCAATATCTCTTTGCGCTTGTCGAATTCCTTGGAATCTATCTTGGTATTTCTGCAGCATCTCTTCTAAACGCTGGTTAGAAGTGCTGGTTCTCTTAACTTTTGTCTTGACTTTGCTAGTCTCCTTTGACAACTGTCTCGTCGATGATCACCATACCCAGACTGAATAAGGTAGGTCTGCCGATCAACGGTAACAAGTCCATCTGACCTTTAATAACAATCATTCGTGTGCGAGTTTGTCTTGTCTGGTTTGTTATGATTACAGAACATTCTCCAATAACCGGGATATCTTCAATCAGCAATTTCAATTTAGTTTTGGATTTCTTTAATTGAATCTGGGGTCTCAGCACTTGAAGTTGCTGGAACTGCTCTTCATCCATTATATTCGCTTCTGATCCAGTGTCCTCCGGTTCAATGTTGGTTGATATTCCGTTGATATTTACCGTGTACGATTTACTCATTTTCATTGCCTTCGCTTTGGATGTATGGCATATACGGAAGTGTTGAGTGAAATCCTCATCACTCAAACTGCTGCTTGAACTGCTACTGCGATTATCCAGATTTGCTTCAATGTGTCGAATGTTTGGCATCCCGATGTTAGATTTTCTTTGGTAGGTCTTATTCTTTGGCTCATCCATCGGCCTCTTCTGTGACTTTGATTCTTCATGCCGAGTTCGCGGCATATTTCTAACTTTATTGCCGTCTGCGAGTCCAACGGATGTTGATTTACAAATGGCTGCAAAGTGGTTTTGCTTTCCACATTTTCGACACTTCATGCCATATGCAAGACACTTCCCTTTATCATGTTGCCGCCCACACCATTGACACGCCTTGTGCTTCGTAAACTTCACTCTTTGGTGTTTTTGTATTTTATCTAGCTCTCGTTTCATCTCTTCAGCTTGTATCTGGACTTATTCAGCAGCAGCTACTTCGTCTAGTATTTCTTGTAATGTCCAATTATTTGGTATTGCTTTTACTCTGATAATGTTGTTCTTCATTGTTTTAATTAAATTATCTCGTATTGCATCATTTTTATCTGCATACCCGCATTTCTACGTTGCCATTGATTTGTCGTCCAGTTGTACTAAGTTTCCTAGTTTAAATTGAGCATAATCTCTATTCTTCCTCGGCAAAAAATGTTGATCGAGCTTGTGGATAAGTCGAGTGCAAACATTTTTTCTTTCTTTCTTTTTCATTCTTTCTTCAGTTGAGGCTTTTCCATACCGAAGAAACAGAATTGTCGTTTAATATTTCGCTTCCATTTGTCCCACCGAACAGCTGTATTGTTGCTATCGCTTGATAGCTGAAATGGCAGGATATTCAGGTGTCTGTTTATTACCGTTACAGATGCTTGTGTTCCTGCCACACAGCTTGAACTTGACGGTAACTCTGCCGCTTTCACTATCTGCCATTATATGTTTATTTCTAACTTTATCCTCGTCGCCAAATGTTCAGTCTAGTATGGTATAATATTTAATCAACAACGCCTAGTTATTGTACAAGCTTATATAGTCATGCATCTAATAATATTAATATGCTAATTAATTCCCAATCCTACTGTTATGTTAAATAACTTTAGTGTTAGTGAATATCTAATAGTTACTACAATTTGGATCAAGTCATTTCACATCCCACGCGAATAACTGCTAAGACAAAAAGTCTAACTGACCTATTGTTTTCTAACTGTTGTCATCGTGTCGTGGATAATGCAGTAACTTAGTTAACACCGACTCACTCTGGTATATTCTGTGTGATTAAAGCTGGTTGTCTTTAAGCACTACCAGATGCAATACTATTCATATAAGAACTACTGTAAGACAAATTTTGTGCATGAGCTAGGAGGTATTGATTGGGAAACGGTTGAAAGAGAACCTGATATTGACGCTGACAAACTTGGAATGCGCCTTTCACTGAAGGAGCATATCATCATGATCCCCTAAAGCAAATGAGGCTCAGAGGCGTTAATCACCCATGGATCAATTTACAACTTTCCAAACCTTTGCTATTAAAGCTAATACGAAAGAACAATGGGCTTTAGACAAAAAATAGGCACGCAGTGCGTACATGTGGATAGCTTGTAAAACATTTGCAAAACATTCGCTGCGATGAAGCTATGGTTTGGCAAAAAATTTCAAGTTGTGTCGAATGTCAAACTACAGGCTGCTATATAGTGGCGAGTAAATATCAAGTAATGCTTCATAATTTTACTTTCCAATGCCATACGCAATGGCAAAAATGTTAGTCAGTTGAATACAGTTATAACGAAGTCGATTTTATTGCACAATCTATATTATATTTTTATTGTATTAAATACATTTTTAACGACCGAATAAAAACATATATAAAAGTATATTTACAAAAGATTGGAAATGCATAGTTTTAAAAATAGAATAGTTGGACAGAACAGAAAAGAGAGTAAGGTTCCAGGATGGTGGCATAAATCGCCTGATAACATAAAGCTTAGTTTGGAAGAAGAGAAAGAAGGTTTTAGATGTTTAAAATTATTTCTTTTTGATGTCCCTTGATTATTAGCTAGCATATCGGAGGTTATTGTTCCAGTGCGATTATAAGGCTTGTTTGCCAAAGTTTTTGGCAATACGTATAGTATATTATCATTATAGCTGGAGATGACAGTTTGATTTTATAGATCCAGCAGGTAGGTGCAGGTGGTTTGCAATGTTGATTATCAATATCTTATCAGCATCAAATAGGTGGAGATAATAGCACCAGTTGGTAGGTCCAATAAGACTATGTGGCTTGTTTGTAAGTTTCACTGACAATATATCAGTCCGACAATCCGTTAACATTTAATGCCATAATTCATCACTGACATAAACGCGTAATATATAGTTACGAGGAAGGTATGATTTTTTCCTTTGTCTTGTGTGAAGTAGATCAATGTTGCTTTAGAAAGAAGAACTTGTTTGGCATTCGTTGCTGCAATGAACAGATTATGCAAAGAGGAACGAGGATTTCCGATATTTGTGTTGTCTTCTCATCTGCGAATTAATTTGGCGTTGATCCACGCGGTTGGCGACAAGCCATCTCAACATTTTTAAAGCCTTTTTCGTGATTGTAGTTGATCTCTAAAAAGCAAAGACTCACGTTATAAAAAAACGAAGACATGTAACTCGCATTTAATACTAATGTATTATATACCTTTAAATTATTGGTGTTTAAGCTTCGATATCATTTTAAAATTTGAAAATATGCCACTCGAACCTAAAAAGGAAAGGATATGGTAAAATTGGAAGGAAACTAAAGGAAAAACCGGAAAAAATAAATGCTTACCTTTTGTTAAATTGAAGACAGGCCAATAAATATTGCCCCGGGTTCATCTTACCATAGTATGGTTGTTCTTGTAACATGCTAATTGGTATATATGTTTGGACGTGATTACCTCCTTACCTTAACAGAAGCCCAAATTGCTTTGTGATCACTAAAGTATGTTTCAAGAGTACCTGCCTGGATATCCTCATCAATCAAATTCGTATACAAATGATCAATCAATGTTGCATTATCCGTTGTTGAACTAGATATAAGTTGCTCGAGGCCATTGGCATTGATCATAAGATTGTACAGTGATCTTCGTTCTATTTCATGAAGCCAGTTGACCTTAAAATCTCCTATGATTATAACTTGTGGAGAAGAATGTTCCTCCAATGTCGTGGAAATGGCAGCCAAAAGAGATGACATTGCAAGTGTTGGAGATCTGTATATTCCAATTATAATTAAGTCTGGACGTTCGACTGTCTTCATAATAGTTACCTCGATTCCATGGCAGTTTCTCGTACAAGGATATCCAATCATCATAGGAAGTTTAGAATAAACAGCTGTACCATGATATGGACGGTTGAGATTTGAAGTTTCCGTCATTTCTGAATAACTCATAGCCTTCAATTGTGTACAATTCACCAGAATCTTCTGCGCTAAATCTCGTTTCGGAAAAAATTAGGATATCAGCTGACGTATAATTAATATCTTTTCGTACATCTTCAATGTGTTTGTGCAAAGATCTTGCATTAAGATAACAAATTTTTAAATCAGTGGGATTCAGCATGTACAACGGAGTAAAGCAAAGATCTAATTTATACTCATTTCTCAGTAAGTGCATTTCTTCAACAACTTTAGGATCGACGAAAATCTTACTTTCGCAAAGATCAGTTATATATAATCCTTCCATTGTTGTTACTCGGCTTAGAGCGACGTAATGAATATGAGGAATTGCTCTTCTTGTATTCAAATTAACGACGATTTGTGACTGAGTATCACCTTGTGATCGATGAACTGTTTTCGCGGCAGCTGGCCTTAAAGGAAATTGCTTTCTTACCACTTGAGCAGACTTCGTTTTACCTACAGCAAATTGCGTTGTAACAGGTTTTATTGGTGTCCAAGTACTTAGTATAGATGTACTTCGTGCATAAAGAATTCTATTTTCTTGTCGGGTTTTCTTTCCAACATCTTCGTCATCAAATTGAACCCAGACGATGCCAGAAGGTTTAGTATTATCAGTCAATTGAACATGTTTAATGACATTACTTGCACCGTTTGTGAGACCATCATCAGTGCGTATATTCACCGCAATTTCAGTTCGTTGTCCGACAGCAATATGCAGTTTATGAGCCAACTGTTTTGAATTTTTCAACGGAACATGTGGTATTTGTCTCATAATCTTTTCCCTTAGTTCAGCTGAACAGGATCCAATGACGCTATCTTGTGCCTTGATTATGTATTTATCATCTGTTACGTTCGCCGGTGAGAACGAACAAAAAATGAGAGCAGTGTTGAGCATTTTAAAACATTTAGTGAATTATAATCAGCAATAAGCAACTTAAACTTTACAAAGCACATTAACAATATCCTATTTCCTAACATTAACTTATCTGGTAAGAGTAACAGTGAATAGCTCCATAGTTGAAAATCCATCATAAATCCATCTATGTTATATTGTTCATTTGGTCAGCCGTCAGCCTAAATTAGCATCGTCAGTTATGGCATCTTGTAATGGCTGTAATCGCTTGCTTATATCTATTTGCGCTCGGACTTATATACGCTTGCTAA